AAATTTCAACCGTCTCTTCCCGTCCAATATAGCCCTTAATAAATTTGATCTTTTGATATCTCTCCTAAACCTTGTTCCGCCATCCATTTACTCAAGCTCGCTAGGTGGGTTATGCGTTGTTTTCCTCTGTCCCTCTTGTCTTCAATCTGTCCTGTGAGTATCAAATTTTCCAAGCCCTCTTTCCTCATTATGTGCCCTAGAAATTTCAACCGTCTCTTCCCGTCCAATATAGCCCTTAATAAATTTGATCTTTTTGATATCTCCTAAACCTTGTTCCGCCATCCATTTACTCAAGCTCGCTTCGTTGTTTTCCTCTGTCCCTCTTGTCTTCAATCTGTCCTGTGAGTATCAAATTTTCCAAGCCCTCTTTCCTCATTATGTGCCCTAGAAATTTCAACCGTCTCTTCCCGTCCAATATAGCCCTTAATAAATTTGATCTTTTTGATATCTCTCCTAAACCTTGTTCCGCCATCCATTTACTCAAGCTCGCTAGGTGGGTTATGCGTTGTTTTCCTCTGTCCCTCTTGTCTTCAATCTGTCCTGTGAGTATCAAATTTTCCAAGCCCTCTTTCCTCATTATGTGCCCTAGAAATTTCAACCGTCTCTTCCCGTCCAATATAGCCCTTAATAAATTTGATCTTTTTGATATCTCTCCTAAACCTTGTTCCGCCATCCATTTACTCAAGCACGCTAGGTGGGTTATGCGTTGTTTTCTTCTGTCCCTCTTGTCTTCAATCTGTCCTGTGAGTATCAAATTTTCCAAGCCCTCTTTCCTCATTATGTGCCCTTGAAATTTCAACCGTCCCTTCCCGTCCAATATAGCCCTTAATAAATTTGATCTTTTGTTATCTCTCCTAAACCTTGTTCTGCCATCCATTTACTCAAGCTCGCTAGGTGGGTTATGCGTTGTTTTCCTCTGTCCCTCTTGTCTTCAATCTGTCCTGTGAGTATTCAATTTTCCAAGCCCTCTTTCCTCATTATGTGCCCTAGAAATTTCAACCTTCATTTCCCATCCAATATAGCCCTTAATAAATTTGTTCTTTTTTGTTATCTCTCTAAACCTTGTTCCGCCATCCATTTACTCAAGCTCGCTAGGTGGGTTATGCGTTGTTTTCCTCTGTCCCTCTTGTCTTCAATCTGTCCTGTGAGTATCAAATTTTCCAAGCCCTCTTTCCTCATTATGTGCCCTAGAAATTTCAACCGTCTCTTCCCGTCCAATATAGCCCTTAATAAATTTGATCTTTTTGTTATCTCTCCTAAACCTTGTTCCGCCATGCATTTACTCAAGCTCGCTAGGTGGGTTATGCGTTGTTTTCCTCTGTCCCTCTTGTCTTCAATCTGTCCTGTGAGTATCAAATTTTCCAAGCCCTCTTTCCTCATTATGTGCCCTAGAAATTTCAACCGTCTCTTCCCGTCCAATATAGCCCTTAATAAATTTGATCTTTTTGTTATCTCTCCTAAACCTTGTTCCGCCATGCATTTACTCAAGCTCGCTAGGTGGGTTATGCGTTGTTTTCCTCTGTCCTCTTGTCTTCAATCTGTCCTGTGAGTATCAAATTTTCCAAGCCCTCTTTCCTCATTATGTGCCCTAGAAATTTCAACCGTCTCTTCCCGTCCAATATAGCCCTTAATAAATTTGTTCTTTTTGTTATCTCTCCTAAACCTTGTTCCGCCATCCATTTACTCAAGCTCGCTAGGTGGGTTATGCGTTGTTTTCCTCTGTCCCTCTTGTCTTCAATCTGTCCTGTGAGTATCAAATTTTCCAAGCCATCTTTCCTCATTATGTGCCCTAGAAATTTCAACCGTCACTTCCCGTCCAATATAGCCCTTAATAAATTTGATCTTTTTGTTATCTCTCCTAAACCTTGTTCCGCCATGCATTTACTCAAGCTCGCTAGGTGGGTTATGCGTTGTTTTCCTCTGTCCCTCTTGTCTTCAATCTGTCCTGTGAGTATCAAATTTTCCAAGCCCTCTTTCCTCATTATGTGCCCTAGAAATTTCAACCGTCACTTCCGTCCAATATAGCCCTTAATAAATTTGATCTTTTGTTATCTCTCCTAAACCTTGTTCCGCCATGCATTTACTCAAGCTCGCTAGGTGGGTTATGCGTTGTTTTCCTCTGTCCCTCTTGTCTTCAATCTGTCCTGTGAGTATCAAATTTTCCAAGCTCCCTTTCCTCATTATGTGCCCTAGAAATTTCAACCGTCTCTTTCCGTCCAATATAGCCCTTAATAAATTTGATCTTTTTGTTATCTCTCCTAAACCTTGTTCCGCCATGCATTTACTCAAGCTCGCTAGGTGGGTTATGCGTTGTTTTCCTCTGTCCCTCTTGTCTTCAATCTGTCCTGTGAGTATCAAATTTTCCAAGCCCTCTTTCCTCATTATGTGCCCTAGAAATTTCAACCGTCTCTTTCCGTCCAATATAGCCCTTAATAAATTTGATCTTTTTATTATCTCTCCTAAACCTTGTTCCGCCATCCATTTACTCAAGCTCGCTAGGTGGGTTATGCGTTGTTTTCCTCTGTTCCCTCTTGTCTTCAATCTGCCCTGTGAGTATCAAATTTTCCAAGTCCTCTTTCCCCATTATATGCTCTATAAATTTCAACTTCCTGATGCTAAGTAGAAGTATCTTGATTGTTTTCATCTTCTCGAAAATCTCGTCGTTGCTCACATGTTTGCTCCATGTTATTCTCAGCATCCTTCTGTTGCCTCAAATTTCTTTTTCATCTGTGATGTGATTGTCCAGCATTAACTGTCATAGTGGAGGACTGATAAGATAACATTTCAGTATTCTTTTCTTTGTTTCTAACATTTTTCTCCTTTTTAATACTTTGCTTAGCTTTTGGAAGGCATCTTTCGCTATCCCAATTCACCTTTGCATTCCGGTGATATATTTCCCGTACTCTTTTAAAACACTTCCTAGATATTTAAATTCTTTTACTTGCTTGATGGTTTTCAATTTCTGTTTCGCATCTTGGGCTGTTGATTTGAGTAAAAATGAAATAATCTGAAACAATAATAGTATTGTCTTATTAAATGTTTCTTTGAATAAAACTTTTTTCTGTTTCTTTGCCTGACAACCATATATGGACTTCTTTTGATTGATGCTTAGTCCTTTCTTCTTGCTTTCCTTTACTACATTCTGTAGAATTTCCTGTATTTTCTTTCGTATGTCTCCTATCAACACTCTCTTCTATGTATCTTATATATATGACCGCCAAATTACAATCAAACGTTAAGATCTGTGTTTATCTAAATCAACACCATCCTTCTTTTCCCTTCAAAACCCTACGTCCATTTTTTATTTCTTATTTTTTTTTACTTGCCCCTTTTTCTTTTTTTCTTTTCTCCTTTTTTTCCCATATCACTTCCGGTGAGTTTACCGATTAAATAGGTCAATGTTTGATCTTTACACCCTCCTTCCCCAATATTAAGTATTGTAATAAAAGTAAAAATAAAAATAGACTTTAAAACTCTCCCTTCCCTCTCTAAATTCGACCACGTCTCTCACACTATCCCTCACCACCCTCTATGTCACATTATATAAGCTCAACATTACACTTCAAAAGTGTAAATTTTAAATTCATTTTTCACAATTGAAAGTGAAGTCTGAAGATCCAGAGAAAAATAAAGTGTCTGGTGAAATAAATTATAAATAATGGAACCTTAGTGTGTTCTGTTTTTCTTTAAATTTATATATATATATATATATATATATATATATATATATATATATATATATATATATATATATATATATATATATATATAGTATTAAGTTTACGGTTTCCAGTAATGCATTCTGGTAGGAGTTCTTATTCTCTCAGATATCGCTTCATTGTAAATGTTGAATAGGTCTGGAGAGAAGTCACCTCATTGCCTTAGTCCATCTGTATGCAGAACAATGTTTTTTTTATATAAGAAATTCGATTCCGACACTCAGGCATATCTTGGCATGAGTTTATACGACAATATTAAAAAAAGAATAATATTGACATATAAATTATCGGAATTCTTTGAAATATGAAAAAAAAAATTCTAGGGATTTTACAGATTTAAAAATAAAACGTTGCAAAAGGCAATAAAAAGTGTGATAGAGTTTAATGCTCATTCAAAAGGAATTCGGTTCTTTATGTTTGCAGTTTAACAAGAAAAAATGGTGGTAGGCTTGTTAACCATAACTAGATGAACGAGTAAGACCTTTTGAAATTCATATTATTGCTTCTTCATAAAATCCATTTCGATCAGTAAAACCTTACTTAGCTCTTAAATAAGTTTTAAGCAGATTCGACTTACGCAAACATTTAAATATGCAAACGATTGAAATTAATTGTCTGTGTGCCAAATCTGTTGTGATCGTTCTAGAATTACCTTTCAAGAAATTGGTTTTCCGCTCATTTTTTGTTATTGCTCTTTATGACAAAGAATAATTTAGGTAACGAGGGAAGAAAATGTAGAGAAATAAAAATAAAAGAAAACCCAGAAGTTATTTATTTGAAGGAAATAAGTGAATAAACTGTGAAGAAAAAAATTCAGAGCGAAATAAAGTGAAAATATGGGCTAGTAAAAGAAGAGAAGATTTGGTAAAGAAAATATAGAAGGAAATTAAAATGTCATAAAATTAAGAAAGATTTAATATTTAAGGAAAGGAAAGAAAGAAACGAATTGGAAATTAAAGCTATACATGAAAGGAAAAGGCGATTATGGGAAAAAAAAGAGGTAAGAAAGAAAGAAAAACGAAAACTGAAAATGAAAAACAAAAGAATAAAATAAGCAAATTAAATATCAAAATTTAATGACAAAAATAAAAAATACTGGAAGAAAAATGTATTCAAAGAAGACAGAAATAAATAAAGAAAGAAACAAACAACGAAAGAAAGAAAGAAAGAAAGATAGGGAAAAAGAAAGAAAGGGAAAAAGAAAGAAAAACCAATAAAAAAAGAAAGAAAGGTCAAATTGGAAAAGTAAGGACAAAATACCAGAAAAAAAATTAACATAACAAAAATATAAAAGTTAAAAATATCGAAGAAAGAAAGAAAGGGGGGACGAAAGAAAGAAAGGAAGAATAAAGAAAGGTAGAAAGAAATGAAGAAATAAAGAAAGAAAAAAGAAAGAAAAGAGGGTAGAAAGAAAAAAAAGAAAGAAAAGATGGTAGAAAGAAAGAAAAAAGAAAGAAAGAAAAAAGAAAGAGAGAAAGAAAGAAAAGAAGGTAGAAAGAAAAAAAAGAAAGAAAAGATGGTAGAAAGAAAGAAAAAAGAAAGAAAGAAAAAAGAAAGAGAGAAAGAAAGAAAAGAGGGTAGATAGAAAATAGAAAGAAAAGAGGGTAGAAAGAAAATAGAAAGAAAAGAGGGTAGAAAGAAAGAAAGAAAGAAAGAAAGAAAGAAAGAAAGAAAGAAAGAAAGAAAGAAAAAAGAAAGAAAGAAAAGAGGGTAGAAAGAAAGAAAGAAAGAAAGAAAGAAAGAAAGAAAATAGAAAGAAAGAAAAAAAAACGGAACGAAAGTCAGGTGAAATAGGAAAATTAGCGACATTCAATATCAGAAAAAGTTAATGAAACGAAAGGGCAAAAATTAATAAAGAAAAAGATTCTATAAAAGAGAAAGAAAGAAAAAATACGAAAGAGAGAAAGTAAGAAAGAATTAAAGAAAGTAAGGAAGAAATAATGAAAAAAAAGAAAAAGGCAAGTTCAAGAAAATGAAGAAAACGATTAAATAAGATAAAAATTCAAAAGAAATAAAGAAAGGAAACGAAAGATTGAAAACAAAAGACTTTAAAAGGGGATAAAGAGAAAGAAAAAACATGACGAATGAAGAAGGTAGAATTTAAAGGAAAGAAGAAAATGATATGTTCAAAGAAATAAATAGAAGAAAAATGAAAGATTAATGTAAAGAGAAGAAAGAAATAAAGAAAGAAAAGACCAAAAAATAATAAACATTCAAAAGAAGGAAAGAAATGAAGAAAGATAAAAATTCATTGAAAGAAAGAAAGAAAGAATGAAGAGTTAATAAAAATGTAACAAGACAAAAAACTGAAAGGTTAAACAATAAGGAAATCATTAAATTAAAATAAAAAATAAAAGAGAATAGAGAGAGAGAGAGAGAGAGAGATAGCTAGATAGAGAGATAGATAAATAAAGAACAGACTCAGATAGATAGATAGATAGATAGATAGATAGATAGATAGATAGATAGATAGATAAAGAACAGACTCAGATAGATAGATAGATAGATAGATAGATAGATAGATAGATAGATAGATAAAGAAAGAAAGAAAGAAAGAAAGAAAGAGAGAGAGAGAGAACGAGATACAGATGAGTGTCGGAATTTTTAAAATGGAGAAATATGAAAAGAAAGACGAAAAGCTGAAAGCCTCAACCAAACAATAATCGTAAATGTAAAAATGAAATAAAAAAATCAATGGTGGAAATAAAACAGCGAATAATAACATATAAAGACAACGATTTCGTTTTCTTTTTTCTTTTCTTTTTTTGCAGCCGACATTTGCAAGATTGATCGAGAATAATAAAATGGCCGACGCTGTCTGAAGAACGTGATCCATGATAAACAAGAAGAGAAACCATGACAATTTGTCGCTTATATTTATTCATGTATTATTGCTTGTTTTCTCTTTGTGTTCGTTTTGTATGCTACTTAAAGTGACGCCATTATAGAATGACAGTACACTTAGATATCACTAAGCAGTTAGGATTCGTTAAGGCAAAACTTGTCCCATCAGACTTTATGGGAAACATGCAGGAAAATGTTTTATGCCGATAGGGGCTTGAGGAGTTATTGAGCAAAACTGTTTTGTGTTTTCATATATCTATTTTGGTAAAGCAGATATCATTTTGTTTCCATTATGTCTACATCAAATAATAAAAAATGTTTTCTGCAGAAATTACTAAAATAATCCAAAGAACATTTTCCATTGAGCCAGTTCTTTATCTGCGAAAATCCTCCATTCAAACAATGCGGCTCTTTCTCTTTCTTTCTCTTTATATATATATATATATATATATATATATATATATATATATATATATATATATATATATATATATATATATTATAATAAAAAGAAATATAAAAATAAATTTTAAAATTCTCCCTTCCCTCTCTAAACTCGGCCATGTCTCTCATACCATCCCTCATTACCCTCTATGTCAACTTATATAAGCTTAATACTGCCCGTCAAAAGTGTAAATTTTAAATTCATTTTTCGTTTCACGTTTTGAAAGTGAAGTCTGAAGATCCAGAGAAAAAAATATTCTATGGTGAAATAAATTATTACAAATGAAGCCTTCAAGTAGTTGGTCTGTTTTTCTTTAAATTAAATTATTCGCTCTGACTTAACATTGAGCTCTCAGGATTTCATCCTCCTTGGGATTCTTCATACAGATTACCAAGATTTTCGTTCTTCATCTATCTATCTATCTATCTATCTATCTATCTATCTATCTATATATATATATATATATATATATATATATATATATATATATATATATATAACATAGGGCCGTTGTAATTTGAAGGATAAAATGACAACAAAATGATAATATCATTGGTAATATCATTCATGATATGTATTATATATCAATAGGTCTTTTGGCTAAATTGAAGCACAAAGAGAAAGATATTAAGATATTTGTGACTATTTTAAGATTATTTTGATGAGATTTTGAGGTTATTCTGGATAGTGCTAAGGACATTTTGTTTTTGTTATTATTAGTTACTTTGTTTAAATAAATTCATTTTGTTTTTTTCCTTGAGAAAGTTCACATTTCAAGAAAAGCGTCGGCAACTATTACAGTTTTCCTATTGTTATTTATATATATATATATATATACATATATATAAAATAAAATTTCCACAAAATTCATTAACAAGCCTATTAAATTTATATGTTATAAGAAGCACACGTGAAGCATCTTTTCATTTTTTAATTGTACCCCTTGAAGAGTGAACGGACAGGTGAGTCTACGAAACTCTGAAGTCGTGGTGCTGAAGATAACATCAAATCACAAACTTTTACGTATATTAATTACACACACACACACACACACATGGAAAACTTTTCTTGAAAATAAATTTAATGATGTATTTCGCCAAATACAAGGCCTAAGTTCCGCTCAAAGGTTATTTGCAGAAAATCCATGAAAAGTAAAGACCTATTTTCGTCATTTCTATACAATATCCACAGCTAACTTGTTTTTCTGCATTTTTTACCGTTTTGTTTTCTTTGTAAAAGGAAGCTGTGCGACAAGTGCCTCTCGTCTCTGTCTCGTCCGTTCTAGGGAAAGACAATGACACTAATCTGTCAACTTTGCGGCATCAACCGGACACAAAGTGACCAGAAAGGTCGAGTCACGTTGGGTAGAATGGAACGGTGGCCAATGGAGGGTGAAAAAGCCTATATGGAAGCACTGAAGAGTCATTATTTCAATTTTCTCAAAGTTTGGTCGTCCGATACTCAATTCTTATAAATAAGAATGCAAAGTGTAAAAAAAAAAAGTTCAGAAAGCCATCGATAATGTCAGACAAACTTTGATTAAGTGGTTTTATGCTAACGAAAAGAATCAATAAGTGAATGGACAAGGAACACAATGACGTACACACAAGCACAGACTTCTCGTATACAGTGCAGAGGATTCAGAAAGAGTTGGATGATATATCCAGTCAACATCATCGTGTTTGGAGTAATCACTAGCGATGGCAACGTTATGCCTCCATTCATCTTCCAACAGGGACGCAGACTCATCAGAGACGCCTACACCAAGTTCCTTGAGGAGGAAATGCTACTCTGGGTCAAAAAGGTGGCTACTAGAAAACCCTATGTCTGTCAATAAGACATTTCAACATGTTACACAAGCAGGAGAACACAGTAATTGCTGTCAGACAATCTCTGTGACCACAACACCCCTTATATCTGACCAGCTAACTCCCCAGACTGCAAGCTCCTTAATTATTATGTGTAGGGTGCAGTTGAGCGACAGTCCAACAAAACTATTTGCTAGAATAAAGATGAACTGCCGGCAAGGATTATGGCAGCATTCACTGACTTAAAAAAGGAGACCGTTCAGTAGAGTTGCAGGAGATTCCGAAGTCGTCTGGAAACCGTGGTTGAAGATAATGGCGAATATATTAAAGAGATTTACTCTTTCGTATTTCAAGATATTTTTGTGCACTTTTGGTAAATATATCTGTTAAAATGAGTCGTCAGTGTTATTTTCATTTTTGTGTAATTTAGACAACAATGCGATGTATCCATCCCACCTCATATATATATATATATATATGTGTGTGTGTGTGTGTGTGTGTATGTGTGTGTGTGTGCGTTGTGTAGAAAGACGATCTACCTTCGCTACCTTAAAGTGTAGAACATGGACTCTTCCATTGACTATGGACGTAGTCGCAAGCGAGACACCAGGGATTCGCAAAGCATTTGCAAATAGTGACACACTAACTACCATATTGGCTAGTATTGTAATGTCCACGTGATTATTTCACTAATATGGTGTTTCAGTGTCTTCCTTTGGAATATTATTAACTTGAACTACGTGTTGATAAGAGCATTATGTCAAATTATGTCAAAGAGGAAGATGAAAGACAGTTGGATGTGTGGAGCCCATTTTATGTTTAAGGTGAGGACCTCATTTCATGTTTACAAGATCATCTCGGTAAAAACTAAATTTAAAATTGAACTCTCCATCCTTTTAGCTAATGAAGTAAGTTTTGCACTTCGCCGACTGTGCAAATACCCTTGGGAAAGGTATGAATCCTCTTCTTCTCCCTCCAGCTATGGGTAAATAGCAGGACACACCGGGTTCTATGGCCTTGGATGGCAACTAGTCTCCCGCAGAAAGAAATGGCAACCTACTGCGAGGAAAAAAGTCTGCCTCGTCAGTCATGTATCGAAAGTCGTGTACCATGCATGGATGAAGTATAGAGATAGAAGACAAGAAAAGCATTGTGTAGAAAGACGACCTACCTTCGCTACCCTAAAGTGTAGAACATCGACTCTTCCATTGACTATGGAAGTTGTCGCAAGCGGGACACAAGGGAGTCGAAAAGCAGTTGCAAATAGTGACACACTACCATATTGGCTAGTATTGTACTATTAATCCACGTGATTATTTCACTAATCTGGTGTTTCAGTGTCTTCCTTTGGAATATTATTAAACAATGTACGACCTTTATTATATATATATATATATATATATATATATATATATATATATATATATATATAGAGAGAGAGAGAGAGAGAGAGAAACGCAAGCATTTTGGTCATAATGTTGATTTTTTAAAATATATATTTCACTTTATTTTTCATATTTTTGCTACACGAGTTTCCGGTATCATGACTTTCCTCAGGCAAAATGTGGTTATTCCCACATATTATTAAAAGGAATAAATTTTCCTTATGTTTTCCGAGGTTTAATCGTTGTATTTTGCGTGTAGTAGTAACCCACACAAGTTCAAGAAAATATGGGTTACTATATATATATATATATATGTGTGTGTGTGTG